ATAAAATCACAACTTACATATATAAGCATACATGGGTCCTTAACTTGTATATACAACATTCTAAATTTTGGAAATCCATCTAGTATTGCCTAAAGTGTGTGATTCCTCTTGTAAAAATATTAAGGCTTGTAGATGATGATTCAAAACCAATTGATATATATTTATGAAGCAATGGACAGAGTTAAGGAGAAAATTATTAAAAACTTTCAAAATCATGAGTCAAGATACAAAAAAGTTTGAAAGATTATTGATACTAGGTGAAATTTATAACTACATAGGCCTCTTTATACAGATACCTATTATCTCTATCCTATTAAGTAAAGTCATCATTAATATATGAATGAATTTATTTTTTCTTTATATTAGATTTTTTTATTAAATGTTTAGAAAATGGTCATAAATCTTATAATTCACGATTTACAAAATAGGCCATCTAATTCACAATTCGATTAACTGCCATGGTCATAAATAGTCATTAGTAGTAGTTGTTGTATTAAGACATGATAATAATGAGACTTTAAGTCAAGTAATTTGGGATCTTTCATTAAAATAAACCTTTTAACATTTGAGAAATAACCATGACACTTTGATGTCACATAAACATTCACAAAATTTTCTTATCTCACTTTACAACAAATGACTAATTAAAGACAAATATATTCATTTACTTGCTAATTACAAAGATAACTTCACTTATATATTTATTAAATGCAAATCTAGTCAAGCATTTATACTTTTTTTCGTTTTTCCCTATGTGTTGAGAAGAGTTCTAATAATACTATCACACATATTTTTCTTCACATGTATCACAATTAATATTGTGACTTACCTAAGGATAAATCGACTTCAGTAGCCTACTTTTGGGTATTTTAAAATATAGTGTTAATGTCCTTCACTCATTAATAAATAAACTTGTTCTTCAATTGAGGCCTTTAGAGCAATTTTATTAAACAATTTTCTTAATTTGCAATGTAATTGATTATGTTTGAAAAATCCTTGATGTCTAAGGTTAATCAATTTTTTTCCATGATGCAATTAATGGTAGTATGTGTCTTCTTCACATATGGGACATGATTTATACTCTTGTTTTCACATTCCAAAAAAAGGAAAGACCATAGTGATCAACTTGAATGTTATACTAAAAATATAGTCAATGCCAAAAATAAAGAGTGAAAGACTATAAATTATAACTTCAAAATGAAAAGATAAAAGATATATAACAATAAAAAAATTAGCAACCTATCAATGTAAAATATAATAATAATAAAAAGCAACATGTAGTATACAAAAGAAAATAATACATGCAATGTAAATAGAAATATTGCATTAATGTCTTATTACGTAGTTGTTTCTTTGTTTCTTCTTTTGTTATGTTATTATTTTTCTCTTGTTGTTTTTAGTGCTTTTTTTACGTAGTTCCTCGTCTTTTTTTTTTCTTTTTTTTTTTGTGTTTCTCTCATTATTTTTCTTTCGTTGTTTTTAGTGCAAAAAAATATAAAAAATTAAAAAATAAAAATAAAATCCTTTTCAATTAAATGTTTTAATTATCATTTTTTCAAAATAAAATATAAAGATTAGATTTTTATTAAATTTGTCAAAAATTAAAAAATAATTTTTTATTCAAAATAAAAAATAAAAAAATTAATTTTTAACTCTTTTTTAGGTTGTTAAATGTTTCAAAATAAAAATTAAAAAAAATTTAGAATGATAAATCACTTTTCAAAATAAATTTTTTATTTTATTTTTTGTGAAGGTCAGTTTTAGATGTTAAATCTTAAAAAAAAAACTAAACATGCAAAAATAATAATAATAAATAAATATTTCTAAAATAAAATATAAAAATATATTTTAAGTTATCAATCCATTTTGTTAGCTTTCAAATAAAAACAAGACATAAAAAATTTGTTTTTACGAAATTGTTTTGTTTTAAAAATAAAATATAATTTGAGATCAAAGATTCTTTTGAGATCTAAAATCTTATTTTTGCTTATGACAATAACAACTTATACTTGAGACACATTTTTAAAAATAAATAATAAATTAAAAATAAAAAAAATAGAAAATAGGAAAGCAAAAATTAAATATTTGGGTCTATATTTAAAATTATTTGCACTATTTAATGTTGAGGTATGTTTATTTGAATGGGTGAATAGGGTGCTAATACATTCTCAATTCCTAACCAACTTACTAACTTAAGATTTTTAAGAGTTTTTCTAATATTTTGCCCTTATAAAAATGAATAAAATTTTGATGACGGATTCACGTTTTTTAAAAATTAAAACCTAAATTTCAAAGCCATTATTTTTTGCCCACAAAGCAACATTGAGCGCGAAAAATCACACTTACATAGATTTCATTTTAGGTAGATCAAGTTTGTACCAATACAATAAGATTAACTAACAAGATTTTGAGTGATTTTAAGTTAAATTACTTACTTATATTATGATAGAAGTTATAAATTAATTTGATATTTTAAGTAATGATATAATTTCATGTATTAAATATAATAAATATTTCATTTCTTATAAAAGAGTATTTTTTTTAATTCTATAAAAATTGATGTATCATAGAAAAAGTAAGTTACATATTGATATGTTTGTAATTAGACTCTCTTTTACAGTCCATATATTTATATTTGACCTTTATTTTATTTTGATTTTACATTGATTTCTATATTAATTATGTAGTTTAGTATAAACATGTCACAATTAGATTTTGAATGCGTTTTGGACCAAAACTGATGAAAAATTAGGGTTCGCAGCAAGCACATGAGTGCTTAAAGCCTAATTAATGAAGAACTTTTAGGGTTTTTAAACTCTATTAAAGATAGACTTGAGGCACCAAGTTTTACATATTGTCTTTTACTCTTCTATACACTTTTTATCTTGTCTCTCTTGCACAAGATCGTTGGCATACTTTTGGCAGAACTTGGAACTTGGAGCTTCTAGTTTGCTTTTTTCTATGATTTTGTTTATGATTATTTTAGTTCTTCTCTTTAACATGAGTAACTAGGTCGATAGCTAGAGTTAAGAGAACTATTATTTATGAATTTATGAAATTTTGAAGTTTGAATCTATATTTGGTTTCTGTTCGTGATTAGCTTTTATTCTATTGCGCATAATTATAATACTAATTAATTATATCGTTAGGCGACTGTACATCAATTAGTTAATAGATTTATAAGATAAAATTAGATAAAAGATTAGGAGATCAAACCAATCTTTGTCTTCCAACCGTTATTAACATAATAAGTTTATATCTGCTTTATGTTTTCTTTAATTAATATCTTGCGTGATCATTGAGATATTAATTTAGAGAAAAGAATAATAATATTACATAATCATTATGTATTAATAGTATTTGTATGAATGATTAGTGATCATAAGAAAATTAAATTTAGAGTTAAATAAAAAAATAACATAAATAATTGAAAAAGAAAACTCATATGCTTTAGGTTCCTCTCCTATAAATTCAACCAAAATGTGTGTTGTGTTATTTACTTTTATTTATAATTAATTTTATAATTAAATTTTAATTTTTACTTAATTTCACATTTTTTAGGCTTAAATAATTGAATAAGAAATTCTTAATAATTAAAAATTAATTTTTGTTGGACGATATTTTGAGAATTTATTTTAAAACCTCTTATTACTTATTGACAAGTACACTTATCCTCTGAATATATATAAATTGCGATAGTTATATATTAAAAAATTATAATAAAAATGCTAACATTAATATTTTATTCATTCTTTTAATGTTATGATAAAAAGTAAAAATATAAAATTAAGTAAAATTATTTATTAACAAAGAATAAAGTATTATGAAGATAAGATTGACTTATAATATAAGTCTTTTCTCAACAAAATTATATTGTATTTTTTTAAAATTATAATTGCTTAACATATATATTTAGTCTCCATTTTGACTTATATATATATATATATATATATATATATATATAAATATATATATATATATATATATAAATATATATATATAAATTAGTTTTTATATTTTAAAAAAATTATATTTTGATTACATTATAACGGTAAAGACTTAAACGTAAGAAACATTTGTATATTTTTTAAATATAAAAATTAATTCATAAATGATTGTGAAATATATGGATTAAACGTATAATTTAACAAAAAAAAATCTAACTAAAAGAACTTGCATAAAAAATTATTTAACAATATATATGTTTTATTATTACATTGATTTTTAAAATAAATTGCTCTCTTTCTCTTTCATTATATAAAAATACATATATTTTAATGTAAGAAAAACTAAAAAAAGTTAAATTTAAGAAATTGAATGGATAAAAAAAATTACTTAAAATAATAAGATAATAAGGATAAAAATTATCAAATAATGTTATCATTATTAAATAAGCTTTTCAAGATAGCAAAATAAGCTTTTAAGTAGTTAAGATGTGCCAAACATACCATTATACGTGCATTGTATGAAAATTATTAAATAAAAATTAAAATATATTTTATAATTATTTTAAATATAATAATTTTACAAATTAAGAAAAAATAATTTTATTATTAATAATAACTATTCATTAGATTAAATAAGATTACACAAAAATTAATTAATAAAATAAAAAAATAATTTATAAAAAATTTAAACAAAATTTTATAATATCATGATACTATAAAAAAAATCAATTTTTTTTTTATTTAAGATGATATATAAAAAATATTTGTTTTTTAAAAATGGAAACTCATACAAAATATACATAAATAAAAGATTGAAGAGAGTATTTATTTAATTATTTATTATTATAGATATTTTTAAAAATGTTATAAATTTATATTATACAACGAGATAAATAAATTAGTTATTTCTTTTAAAAGTAATTACAAAAGTATTAGTTATTACAAAAATAAAAAATTCTCAAATCGGTAATAATTTAAGATAGAATAACAGTTAGGTGAATGCATTTTAATTAAATTGATGTACATATGCATGGATAAAGTACATGATTCTCTCTTCTTCTGAATGGCAAGTAGGGTCCACTACACAGTGAGCCAAAACCAAAACTCACATTTCGCATCCTTTCTGCTCACAATCCCATATTGGGAACCAAAATTCAATTCACCAAAACCCTAATTTCCTTTATCTCCAACTCTTAGATCTTCACGTTTTAGGGTTTTCTCCACGTTCCGCAATGGTAGGTGCTTTGCCTTTTCCTCTGATTTCATTTTCATATTTTTTTCCGTTTCATTTCTGTGGCTCAATTTTTATCTACAAGGTTCCACAAATTCTCAATCTTTGGCATTTTTTTTCTTAATTTTATTATTTGTTCATGTGCAAATGGTTTTTTGCTTTCATAACTTTTGAGCTCCACTTGAATCAGTTTGAATGATTTTTTTTTTTCTTTTTGGGGTTTTGAATTTAACGAGCTGGATTCTATAATAATTGATGATGACACTGAAATTAAATGATTTGTTCGTGTTGAATTTATTTTGTATATTATGATATGGTCTATGATGATATATACTAATTAATTGTTCTGATTTGTGCCGCAGCACAAATTGGGCAGAGGTCATCGCGACAAACTCCAGCAGTTCATAACAATAACTGGAGCTAGGTAATGTTGTAGTTTCCTATGATTTTTCTGCTTCATTTGAAGGTTTTAAAGTGTGGTTGTGTTGCGATTATTGAAATCGCAGATAATTGAGGGCAATTGCAGCTGCAATAGTGGTTGCGGTGCAGTTGAGGAGATCTCCAAAAACCACAATATTGCAGCTGAAATCGCAGTTGTAGACTATAATTTGAACCTGTGTTTTGTTTGATTTCAAACGTCTTTTGGTGCATGTGATGATTTGTCATTTGCTTATTGAACTTCTGATTTTTTTTTTATTGTATATTACAAATTACAATTGATACCCACTTAGTGTTTGATTAGACCCCGGGGGGATCCATGTGTTCTACCCTTTGTGATTGAAGGCCTTTGTATATATTTTTATTTCTGATCTGAAAACTTTTTAATTGATTACTTTGTCTGATATTGACAGATGAGTGGTGATGATCATTCTTCTGGGCAGGGTTATATTTTGTATATTAATTGTTTTTTTCAGATGCCATGTATATTTTTGTCTGATTCATATTATTTGACAGCTGCTTCAGCTGAGTTCATGCTTTTTTCTGGGGGTTAATTTTGGAATTTATATGACGCTTCCCAACTGCATCTTTAACTTCTGCTTTCAATTTGAAAACTAATTTTGTATTTTCAGTGAGAGAGTAGCGCTGCAAGCTCTGAAGGCTAGTGATTGGCATCTTGAAGGAGCATTTGATTTCTTTTATAGCCAGCCCCAGCTTAAAACATTTACTGATTCTAGACACTTGGAGGAGCTATACAATAGATATAAAGGTTAGCAATGTATAAAATGGTTTGCAGCCGTGGCAAAGCTTTTTTATCCCTTGATGTTTCTCCCTTTTGGATAACAAGTTAATTTGGCTACATCATTTGTTATTTCGAGAGAACATGGGTGTTTTTATCCCCATCTCAAATTAATTATGGTTTGTCAACTAAACCTGGAAGCAATCTAAGATTAGTATCATGGAGTTAGAACTGATTCCCCAATTTAGTTTGATGAAGACATTATATAGGGTTCAATCTAGCCTTCTTTTGATAAAGGGATCTCTTTTTGGACATACTAGTTTTCTTGTTGATAAGATGTTCCATTGGTTATAAATATGATAAGAATATTCCTTATAGGGTTCAGACTTCAGAAAATTGTCTCCCCTTAAGCTAGCTTTTCAGGTGGAGTTAGGCTCAGTCCATTTTTAGGCCACCTGCAAATGACGAGTCCTTTAAACTTCAAGGTCCTAGTTTTTAGGCTTGGGCATGAGGTGTGTGTGTTAAAACGTCCTACATTAGTTAGAAATATGGTCACAGTACTCCTTGTAAATTTTTAGCAATTCTCAACCCTTGAGTTAACTGTTAGGGTTGGGTTAGGCTTGTTCCATTTATGAAATGCTATCCAACCCTATCCAACTCTGATGCAGGGCCATCTGCAAAATTGCAAATGTTTAGTCTTGCAAACTTCACAGCTTGAATTTTCAGTTCTGAATGTGAGGTGTCTCAAGATGTTCCACATTTACCAAGAATATGGACATAGTATTCCTTAATCCTTACAAAGTTTGAGTAATTTTCCCACCCGTCCCTTCCTCTTTTTGGCGTTGAGTTGTCCACTCTACTTTTGATACATCCATTTCAAATCTTGATATTCTGAATCTTCAGTATAGTAGTATACATGGATTATTCTGTCATTGAAATTGTACTTAAACGAAAAATGTAACCGAATGGGATTTTCCTTTATCTGAACTTAAGGGATATGAAGAAATGTTGGATTTAGGATCATATAACTTTTGCATGTGAAGTTACATAAAACATCTTATTCAAGGCCCTTTTTGTTTTGGCTGAGATGCATACATGGACCTTTAATTTGAGTTGATACCAGATTATTTCTAAGTTATTCATTACCTATTGATAAGTGGCTATCATTTATTTAATACATTATGCCAGTCTGCTAATGTTTTATTGCACTAATTTCCATACAGATCCGTATGTTGATATGATTTTGGCAGATGGTATCACTCTCCTTTGCAATGATATCCAGGTTGCTGTTTTTGAATGTAAATTAATTATATTCTAGATTTCTTGCTTCAGTATCATTTTAGTTTACAATTCTTCACTTGTAAGTTATCATGGCACCTGTTGTGGAGATGTGAACAGAACTTGCAAGCAGTAATTCTAGATATTTTGGTTGAAATTGGAGCAGAATTGCTGTTAATGCTGTGGGGCTTTTGGATTTGGATTATTTAAAGGCATTTGATAAGGGAACAAATTTGATTGGGTGTTCATAACGAGAGTAGTGGAGCTAAAGTAAAAAGAAGGGAACCTACATTTCACACCTTGTGTTCTTGGGCATAACACCTGAGAGATATGTGATGTATATTTGACTTGGCAGCTCTAGTTTTTGTGTTATAAATTAACTCTGTTCTTGAATAATTGCTTAGATTAGGATTAGTTGTAACTTGGGGACATGTAGTTCAAGACTTCAGACCCAAGTTTAATGTTAAGAAAATGGAAGGAATACAATAGGAATAAATTAAGATGGAATTAAGGGAGTATGGGAATGTAAATAACTAAAGGGTTTGCAAATGCCAAGGAGTGGTTGTTAATGCCATTTTATTTTAAATGGACAATTTGTTAATTGGTCAAACACAATATACAAATACAATGTCAGCCCTAAAAGAAAGCTCAACCAAACTATAACATTGTATGAACAATAAGACATCAAAGTCATTAAACACATCATATATCAATCTGTAACACGTATTGTTTATCAATCTAAAATAATAGATTAGAACTTTCCTTTAAATTAATAAATAACATTGAATATGAAAAATAGATTGAAACAAACATTTAAAATTCATTTGAAGATTGAAATGAATATATATTATGCAATTTTTTATTTGAACCTTTTAAGTATCTGTAAATATGTTTGTTATTCTATTTAATATATTGTATTGTAACCTGGGTTTTCCAAAATGTATCTTATTTGCAAGTTGTATATATTCATATCAGATATGCTACTTGTTCCCTGTTCACATTTATGTCTGTTTGATCATCTCTGTTTGTTAAATATGTCATATGGCTCATATCTCATACAGTTGTTTATGTCATTTGAAATTCATGTTTTAATATCTTATTTATATTTCCAGTGCTTGAGTTTGATTCATTTAGAAGTCAATATCATTTTTGTTCAAGATGTAATTGATGTTTTAAGCCTTCTTTTTTATGCAGGTGGATCCTCAAGATATAGTAATGGTATAAATATTTATTTCAAACATTCTTTCATTTATAAATCATGGATAATTGCTTGGGTTATTTATTCTTTCCTTCATTAATTTACTTCTATGCATGATATTTTAGAAAAACTACTATTTAAATAGTGATTGATTATCCTAGTTACAAAATCTATTAAATGAAAATGAAGCTGTTATTGTGGAAACTGTAAAGGAGATATAGGGGCTGAAAACTTTAGTTGGAATAATGGTTTTTCATGGGTGCCTTTCTTTTCCTGAGGGTTAGATATTCATGGGTAATAAGTTACAGGTGGCTTACAGAGATGGTTGCATTGGTTTCAAAATCAGCCATTTTTCTTGGCGTAAAAGGTCTATCTAAGTTTATATTAGCCACCGCAAATATTAACCATAGCAAGATCCTTTCTAAGGGAAGGAAAATAAAGACTAATATTATTGCTTTTAGTTATCTATGTAAGTGCAAGATGATTGGTTGCATATGGCAAAATATGCAATATTTGTAAACAAAGAGTTTGCAATTTTAAATGAATAATCATTGAACATAAATTTACACCTGTTTACACTTCCTGCTTTTATGTGTTAACTTGATTGCATGGTAATATTTTTTCAGTTAGTTCTTTCATGGCACATGAAGGCTGGCACCATGTGTGAATTTTCTAAGAAGGAGTTTATTGAAGGTTTACAATCTTTGGGGTATGGATTATTTAGTGATTTTGACAGGAAATTTTTTTATGTAATGGCTAAATCCCAGTGAAAGACCACATGAAATTATTGCAGGATTGATTCGCTCGAAAAGTTGCGTGAAAAGATACCATATATGCGGTCTGAACTGAAAGATGAACGTACGGACAATAATATTCAGATCACTGCTCGAAATAAGTTATAGTCATACAATTTATAATTCATTTGTCACTAGAAATGAACTCCAACAATTGTTGAAAAAGCTCCCTGAAATATATTCACTGTTTTTGATTGTCCAGATAAGTTCCGTGAGATATATAACTTTGCTTTTGGCTGGGCAAAGGAGAAGGTATGCATTGATGTCTACTTGTTCAGTTGGTCTCCTTGCCTCCTCTGTAATGTAATTTAACTAATATGCTTTGTAGTAACAGCCGATGGCCATAACCTAATTTAGGCAATGCCTCTGGATCTAATATAATCTACTAGTTCTTTCTTAAGATACAATTGCCCCCACTGTGATGGCACAGGGAAGATCTTGGGAACTAACGGTCAAACCATAATTGATTTTCTGGTTACTAAATTGGAGTTATTCTTAAATATTGATTTTTCAGGTTTCTCTAGTTTGAATTTTTTGGTCTATTTTCTGCTGTGCTGTACATTTAATGATATTGAAAATTTGAAACAGAGGGCTTCAGATCTGCTTTCATATGTAGTCAACCACAAGTTTTCCTAGTACTTTTTTGGCTTGAGATTCAAGATGCTGTGAACTATTTGATTGCTAGGCTACTGTCTATTTTTCCCTGCAGATTTTCTGCTTCCAGTATATGATTTTTTGGTTAAAATAAAAATTTGGTCCATGCACCTGATGTCATATTTTCATTTTAATCCTACATGAAAGTGTCTATAAATTGGTTCTTGTTTGCTATAGTTATAATGGTGTTAGATTTTACCGATTTGTCATGTCTTACTGAGATGGAATGATGCTATGTGACAAATAGTTTGCCAACTCAGCTAAATCCAACACTATTATGACTTTAACAAACGATAGGAATCAATTCCTAAACCTTTTCTTTTATGTAAGAAACAAAATGTAACAGTAATATTCAAGTTACCTTTTACAGGGTCAAAAATCTCTGGCATTGGATACAGCTATTGGTATGTGGCAATTATTGTTTGCTGAGAAGCAGTGGCCACTGGTTGATCACTGGTGCCAGTTCTTGCAGGTAATATACTCAATTATTGTCCACATGCACCTTTAGCTTTCTTGAGTATGTCTGAAGCTTTCTTATTTGGATAACTTTCTCTGGTAGATCAGATATCTGCTAATGCTTGTTCCTTTTACTTAACATTAAAATTTTGATGGTACTTAGGCTCGGCATAACAAAGCAATATCTAGGGACACATGGTCTCAGCTTTTGGAGTTTGCTAAGGTAAACTAGTAAACTATTCAGTAATAACCATTAGAATAAACTTACTGTTAGTGGTGCCTCATAATGTGGATGTACATTTCCCATCTTGATGTGGATATATTGTTGCATGGATATATCTTTGCATGGTCTCTGCTTGTGTACTTCAATACATGGCTTCTCGAGCTTGACTAAATATCTTCGATGACATGATAAGGAAAAGGAAATCTGGCTATATCTTTCATGCCGTTTTTCTTATTATGTCTTGTGTCTGATCATCTTGCTAATCAATTGAAACCCTGATCAATGTTATCACATTTTACACCAATGGTTGCTGTACTAATGTCCATGCATAAAAGTTTGTGATGTTAAATGTAATTTTTCTTTTTTCCGTTTTTACTGCAATTTCTGAAAAAAAAAAAAAACGATGGTGAGAAATGCTAATTTTTTATTTTGGTACTTGAGCTGGATGTAGGGAAATATATTTTCAACAGCACTGCAAATGCTTCATTTCTTCTACTCCCAACATGAAAAAAGGAGCTAAAATGACCTCCGTTGAATTTGGTTTTTAGAGCTTATGAATTTTGTATAAGGATTATTATATGCTATATGAATTATAAAACATCATAATCTTCATCTTCATGTCACTTCTTATTGATGGAGAAATCCTGTTTGCTTGTACTGTTTTTGGAAATGATGATGCCAGCGAAACTTTTCATGCTGGTCTTCTATGATAGTATGCTGTTTGCCTTTATGAAGTAACACAATCGACTGATGTGTCATGCTGTTTTGCAGACTGTTGGCTCAAATTTATCTGATTATGATGCTGAAGGTGCTTGGCCATATCTTATTGATGAATTTGTTGAGTATCTGAATGAGAATGGCGTCATCCAAAATGGTCAGATCACTGATTCTAGTCTAAAACGATGACGCGCTCAGTGACATGAGAGAATATCATCTGTGGTCTCCTGTGAAATGGGTTGTGCTATTCTGTTATTGAACACCTCTTTGTTATGAAGGGGGATTTAGTCTAAATATGCAAAAGAAGAGGACATGGCTGCTAGAGCAAAATCATTTTTGCTGACGAGTAGTAGCATCATTTACTTGTGAGATTGTTGATATGGTACATGAATTTCTTTGGGAAGTATTGTGGGATTGGTAACGGGAGCCTGCTAATTCCATGGTGTTATAGTTTCTTGCCCTTTTTAATTTAATAATTTATTCTTGTATGATGTCTTGTTAGATAAGGCACTTGTGTGATTGTGATTGGCTGTCCTTGTTTATGTTTAACTTTAGTCATTTTGTAAAATATGTTGCACCAGGTTATTTAAACATTCATGAAATAGAAAAGAAAGCGGGGAAAATTAGCTAGTATATGCCGGTTTTGCTTTGAAATATTTCAAAGCAACTTATATGTTGATTTTATGTGTTCCTGCACTTGGGCATGTTCTTTCTCTTTGGATATCTAAAATTTACACACGCACACAGAATAAAGTAAATATTAATACAGAAGATTACGAGATAGAGTCGGAGGAATCTTTTTTCATCATATATTTAAGTATAGAATGGGAATTTTTTTTCTTTCCAAGTGGTCTTATGTTTGTAGCCTGTTTGTATAGTATCAATAACTGTTTTCAGAAAAATTCTTACAAAACCTGTTTTCAATTTTGTGTGTGAACGGAGTCTTTTTCCGTTTCAAAGCAGGTGGTAGTGTGAAAAATTGGCTGCTCCTTTTACTGAGCGCTTTTTGGGGAATTTGAACTTGTACTGGACTTTCTAATATTTAGTTGTGATTATGTGTAACTTATGTAACATCTTAATTTATTTTTAAAATAAATTAATTTTACAATAAATGAGAATAATTAATTTTTTTATTCAAATAGTTTTTAACACGTAATTTTATCAAAGTATTTTAAAATAAAGATGAATTATATTATTGTTATATGACTTAATTAATACATAATAATTTTAAAAGAATAATTTTTTAAGTCCTATAGCAGTTTTATTTATCATTTCATTGAGTTTGGTATTGATTGTTTTGGTTTCTTAACAAATAAATGTAAGGGTGAATATTTTACACTATTACATACAAGCACAGAGATTCATATATCTACTAACATAATTTATATCAAGCATTAAAAGGTATGCAGTAATACTTTTCAACATTTCATTCCAATTCATATATAAGTGCGTTCACTACACCATCAAACAATCCACACATACGTGTGCTTATTGCACGTAGCCACGCTTACTGTGGTATTGTAATCACAGTTTTCTGATGCTCTCAACCTTAGAAACTTATTTAATTTCACACCATGGATGGTTGCCAAATAGTTGCAGCTCCACGGATATAACGTGTGCGGTATTGGGTCTCTAAGTAAAGGTATTAGTTAGAGACTGAGTCAGGAGGACAGTGTGTGGCTTGTGGTGTACCACGCTCATTGTTGGTGTCACTATTACCCTCTCTTCCTCAAGGTATTTTTATCGCTTCCATCTTCTGCATCCTTAGTATATCGTTGAATCATTCATACTTTTTCAACATATTCAAACATAACTATCATGCCATTCACACATATTTTCAATCATTTCACATTATTTATTATCAACCAATGGCATGTCCACACATTTTCAACCACATTAGCAATCATGTCACACTCAAACATCCAATTTTCATCAAAACTCCACCACAATCAAATCACTTAATCATACACATCATCCATTATTCATCACACACATTTTTCAATATCAATCACACTAAATTCCACACAAAATTTCCATCACCCCTTGTTACAATCAAGTTATTTTTATCCAAATACACATCTTTATATGTTCTATCTCAATCACATTTCACTATCTAGCAACACAAACGAAATCTAAACACAAAAAGATATGGTAGAGTCTCCCTTACTTGGGAATAAAGACTCAAACACAAAACCAACAATAGAAGTGCTCTCCACACAAGTTTTCATCCTAAATATAGGAAAAACTCCATGAGAAATCGAGAAGAACAAAGAAAGAATGAAAAATGTAAACCCTAACTATTTAAACTCACTTCCAAATACTCTAAACGTGATTCCAACTTTCAATTTAACTCACGAATTGCTTTAAAAGCAAATTCATCGATGAAAATGAGTTAAGGATAGAGAGAATCGAGAGAGGGATGAAGGAAAAAAGTGAGAATGAATTTTTCGAACCCAAAACCCCTCGCAGAGAAAATCTTAAACGAATCTGCACTCTGATTTATGTAAAACTTTACTACAACAAGACCCTCTCGCTACAGCGAGACTGTGTCCAAAAAACACTCTTTCTCTGTTGCTCTCTCGCGAGAACGCCCCTACAGGACACACTTAACCTATTTCTTAATTAGTCCAAACACATCCAATCCTAATTCATAGTCAACATTCACATTCATATCATCATCATCATCACACACAGTACATTCACATTCACATCATCATCATCACACACACACACACACTGTGTGTGATGATGATGTTGTGAATGTGAATGTTGACTTTATATATATACACATACACACACATATTTCACATCATCATATACATCAATTGCATATTCAAATAAAAATTCATAATTTATATTAAAATTAAAATAAATTACAAAACTTAGAGTGTTACAACTTGAAATGTTACAAGTATAATGATTGACACCTAACTTTTGGTGTACCCATGCATGACGAATTTAAAATTATATTAATAAAATAAATGAAGGGTTGAGATCAAATTAAAAAAACTTTATAATTGGACATATTTATCCTTATCCCATTCACCATCTTATTCTCTCTCTCTTGTATCTTCTCAAATGGTATCCCCGTTTTAGACTAAGCTGGTTACACAGCTATTGGTAGAAAGTGTTATAAAAATATAGATGGCAGTTGGAAGTTGCAAACTTGTTCGTCTCAAAAGAAATAAAGCTCTACGTGCACATGATTAAACTATAGTCTCATACCATTTTGAAGAGATGGCCCAGCATTAAGAAAATGATAATGAATTTACCTTACTGATTGTAGTTTGTGCTATATTCACATTTATAAATTTTTATTGTTTTTAAACACAAGAGAGTCCTTATAGGAAGAAGACAGGAAGAAAAAGTGGTTTGCTGATGCCGAGGAATGCAAGAGAAGAGGTTCTATTCAAAATGCCAGGGCTATGTATGCTCATGGCTTCACTCTCTTCTTTACTAAGAAGAGCATATTGAGTCATAGTACCATAAAGAGGAAAGATACTAGAATTGCATCAAAACAATGAGATAAGTAAATATACAGCAAATGTATGGATAAATATGACATATTGGTCATTGCTAGAATCAGCCCAAATATAATGGTCAAATGAGTCCCTCTTTAAACAAAGATGTAACACCTATGTTAAAATAAATGGTAACGACGCAACTGCATGCAGGTGAATTTAGTTAACAAAGTTCAATGAGTGAATTTAGTGACTAACAAAGTCTCGTACAGTTATTTACTAAATAATTGGGTCTTTTAAATATAATATTTTAATTTGGGTTTTATTTTTTAAAATGTATGAAAGAACTTTGTTGAAAGAAGTGTTCATTTCAATGATTTCTCCATCGTAAAGGGAATATTGATCTGTGACTATTGGTCAGAGTATATTTTTCAAAAAATATATACACGTTTTTTTTTTTATATTAGACATGTATTTTAAAGAAAATAAAGTGTAAGAAAAATGTCTATAATATTAATAATAAATATTCTATTTTATTAAATACAAACAAATTAAAGGAATAACCTACTGAACATGTGGATCAACTAGTAAGGAGTTATTTCAGCTTAACTTGTAGTATTGAGTGGATAATACCTATGATTTAGAAAAAAACATTAAAGAAATAAAATTTTAAAATTTAAGGAAAAATTTGTAAAAAGAATTTATATGAATAAGAATATATTATCTCTGTATATTCGTTGCAGTGACAATAACATTTTAGAAATATGTAATTTGGAAGCTCTTAACTTTCAAAATTAAAATTGAGAATTTTTTTTAAATATATATCTTCCATAAGTTTCTGAAAAATGTGAAGCTATTTTTATAACATATATTTTCTTTAAAAAATAAAATAAAAGGGTGGTATATATATTGTTAAGATCGGATTTAAACATCTAAAAATAGTTTTTTTTTTTTAAAAACACAATACTTGTTACACTTATATATTCTCAAGATGATAAAGTTATGTAGAATTAATTTTATTAAAAACAAATTTGGGCTATTAAATAATAAAATGTGTATAAATTAATTTAAATCACATAATTTTATGAATAACTTTTTTAATGTGTGTTTAAAGATATATGTTAAGAAATAAAAAAATAATTATTTTTATTAAAAATTTATAGTATTTAATATGATTGATATATTGAACTCTGTGATACCTTATTATTTGTAATAGAAAATTATCATATATAAATTATTATTATATGCCCTTGAGTACATGCTAAAAAGTTATTTTACAAAAATATGTACTTATTTTATACAATAAGAAATAATAATAAAAAAATTTATTAGAAATTTTAGAATTTAATATTATTAATGTGTCGTATTAGGTGATATCCTGTAGTTTTTAATAAAAAATTTATTATCTAGATCTTATTTATAAAAAAATGAATACCTAATTCATCAAAATTAATTAAAAAATAGTTCTGCAATAAATTTATACTTTATTAAAAATATTAATAGTATTAAATGGTTAATTTGATGTTATATATATTTAATAAATGGATATTTTTATATAGTTAAAGAATAAGTATCTCATGAATATAAATATCGTAATAAATAAGAACATAAATTTTTTTCATAATTAATATATCTGAAATTTAATTTTTATTTTTTATAATTAAATTAAAAAATTATTATTATTTCTTATAAATAGAAATAGATATAATATTATTCATAATTTTTTTATTGTGTTTGAATGATTAAATATTATAGAGAATTGTTTTTGAATTTTGATAATTTTAACTTTAAGAGTTGAGTTTAATAAAAAATAATATTTTTTATTAAAATATATTTATTATATTAGAATTATTAAAATGTTAAAATTTTATTATTATTATTAATTGCTTAAACTCAGCTCTAAAATTGAGTTTAATATTTATAATAATTTTTTTTATCTTCGTTTTTTCTTTAAACAAATGAAAGATAACGTCTTCAAGAGGTTATTAATACCGGGAACAATTTATCGAAATCCTCTACCAATATATATATATATATTACAATAAAGTTGCTCAGACGATATTCTCTGATGTATATAAGTGGGCAAGTGTTAACAATAGTTTAAAATTATATTCTCCATTTCTTATATATTGTTTAAAGATTTTTCTTATAAATTAAGATAGTTTTAATC